TTGCAAAAGAAACTCAAAGTGGGATTTTTATTTTGAGAATATATGTGGTGAAACTAAGAATGGGATCTCTACTCCGAGGATCGAAAAATTCAGATAACTGTAACTTTTATAGGATTGGTTATCTGACTTGAAGACGAGTTTCCGACTTCAGCCCTAACTTTTATAGGATTGACTGAAGGAGAAAAGGATGAGAGTTTTTCGTTTATCGAAAAGAAATCCCAGCTTGGGCCACAACCGTTCGATGGTTTTGACTAAGATGAGGTACTGAGACGACCCTAACTTTTATAGGTTTGGTCGTTCAATTGGGGTGGAGGTCTTTCATTTATCAAAAGGAAAGAATCCGACTTAAAAGTGGGCCTCTCGTTCATTGAAGGAATCGAGAGGGGAATTTGACTTTGGTTGTGGTCCTAACTATAGAAAGGTTTGACCAAATGAACAGTGAGAGTAGGAGTACAAATTATAGTAGGAGTGTTGATTCGTACAAATTGCTCGAAGGGAGTTATCAGTGTTAAGTGATAAATACTTAACACGAAGGGATTTGACAATTATCAATGACCAGGAGATTAAAATTCTGAGCACTATATCTGGACTCTAACCATGGGAGTGTTGAGTGCACAGACGTAGAGAGAGTTTGAGTGGAGTAAACCAGGGAGAATTTTAGCGGACCCACCGTTAATTAATTTGATTAATAAGGGATTTTGTGGTGGCAGAGTGTAAATCGACAACAACAATGAGAGTTTCGAGAGGGAATATTATAGTCAATCTAGCTGATCTCGGGTTATCCTTAAGAACACCATGTACAGTATTCTCCAGGAACTTCCTATTTTACCGAGTTATCCTGAGCGTACTAAGGATAGTACTTTTTTAGGAATTTCTTATTTTTTGGCATCATGATCTTGTCACCGTCTTGGGTGACTAGACGACATGCACAATTAGAGTCGACTGTCTCTATCACAAATAGTCCTTCCTATTTAGGTTGAAACTTGCTTTTTTTCTTAGAGTTAAGTATCATTGGCCGTCGGACGGCCAAGACCAAATCTCATTCCTTGAAGCTTCTTTGCTTAATCTTATCGTTAGATCCCTCATGATCAGTGATTGGGGGTAGCTTAATTTTATCGTTCTCCAACAAGTATTTAAAGATATCAGGAACCTCATCTTCCGTGAAAGAATACTCTTTTGGGAACTTTGGCTCAGTTGTCTTTTGTTGCCTTAGAGGCTGTTGTTGCCATTGGGGTGTTTGCTGGCATGGCGTTTGTTGTTACGGCTACTGTTGGGATTGCAATTGGAATGTCTGATTTACATCTCTACCACACCCATGGCAGACACCACACCAGGGTGTGGTGGAGTCTGTTTTGAGTTATTCTTCACGTTTTTCACAATTCCTTCGCCGTTTTCACATTAGCAACTATTAGAGATGCTGATGAGCAGTGGGATGATTTCAGAAATAAAAGGTTGGACTTAGTTGGTGAGTTGCTTGGTAGAGAGCTGTGGGCGAATATTCATCTTTAAGACACTATGGATGTTGATTCCCGTCTAGCTCCTACAACGAAAGCTACAATCAAATAGTTTTCGGGTCGGTGAACGAAATTTGCGAATGGAGGGCTTTTCACATAGATCGAGAAGAGTTACAATTCAACGACACTTCTGACGATTGATGAAAACTCTATGCAGCAGTCTTCACAATCTACAGTGAAAGTTACAATCTGACGGCTTTCACACCCCACAACAGCTAAAGCTAGGATTATTGAACAACGGTCCTTGCAACGCTCTACAGAAGAAGTTACAAGTCAAATGGCTCCTTCTGAAACGCGGATGTCATCCCCGCGTCACCAATTTGGAAATGAAGGCGACCCTCGCGTCGTCAATGCACAAGCCAAACGTGAGCGACCCTCGCGTTCAATGGTGTTCAACCAACAGCGACCCTCGCGTCGTCAATGCACAAGCCAAACGTGAGCGACCCTCGCGTTCAATGGTGTTCAGCTAACACCCAACTTCGCGTCTCAATTCAAAGAACACGAAGTTGAGATTCTGAACGCTAGATTGGGCGTTTGACTTGTTCAAACACGAGTTGAACGGTTTCAGAACCGTTTATCCCATGTTCTGAGGGATTTTCGCCCACGTAGGAGCGGATATAGGGGTCAGTTACAACCCCTTATCCCCCTATAAAATATCAACAAACTCGACAGAGTTAAGGGATCGGATTTTTGATAATCAGATCAGAGGTTGGATTCTTTATCATCAAAACCACTCAGGTTTGGAGATTCGGCAACAGCAACGAAATCCTTGGAGATAGGATTTTTGAATCAACCTCAGAAGATCAAATCTGAGAAGATTCTTCGACAACAGAAAAACAGCTTGATCCTTAACCGAATTTTCGGTTCCAACAACTCTATTCACAGAGTTCAAACTCGTTCAGAGTTCAAAAACTCATTCAGAGTTATTCATAAAACTTTCCACGAAAGTTCATCGTTCCCACGAGATAAAGACGGTCGGATCGTCAACGGAGAGCAAGTTCGACGCAATCAATCGAAGGAAGCACTCCATCGCTGCCAAGAAGAACCCAGTTTTAAACAAAGGGGAAAGCCAAATTCGTTTTCCTCTTTTTTGTAATCAAATTGTAACCGAGATCAAAGGAATCAAAGTCAAATTTTCTTTATTCTCTTCTATGTTTTATACATAGTATATTAGTATATATTCTTTGCACATACTACTTAATTTAGTCCCACATTCTTTGCACAGACTACTTAATTTAGTTTGCAAAACCCCCCCTGAAAGTTTGCAGAAAACCCCCTGAAAGTTTATAGAAACCCCCCTGAAAGTTTGCAAAAAATCCCCTGAAAGTTTACAGAAAATCCCCTGAAAGTTTACAGAAAGCCCCCTAAAAGTTTGCAAAAACCCCCCTAAAAGTTTGCAAAACCCCCCCCTGAAAGTTTGCCAAAACCCCCTGAAAGTTTACAAGTAGAACCCTGAAACTTACATATATATAGAAGCATCATAATCATAACTAAATAGGTTATTGGGTCACCCATGAACCACCCATTTAGTAAATGGGTGGTTGAGAACTGATCCATTTAGCAAATGCTAAATGGGTCATAAATGGTCAAGTGATCATAAATGTGCTCACTCATTTATGATCCAACCAAGACCCAACCAAAACCACCCATTTGACATCCCTAGGTGTAAGGGAGGGTAAAATGGGGATTGTGTATGGAGTTTGCATGAGAACTTGGGGAGAGGGGCTTGGACACAATTTTTTCAAAAAGGAGGGGCTGCAGCACATGTTTGAAAGTTGGGGGGGCTGGGGCACATCCAAAGTTGGGATTTGGGATCTTGAAGCAATTTTTCCTAATTATTATCATGTGTGTTATAGAATAGAATTTTATAATTAATAGATGTCTAAGTACTAGTGTATAAAGTCTCATCTCAAATCCAAAAGAGAATATATAAATCAATGCACACGTCTCAATAATATCCTTTATGTGTACCACAAATCTCAAAACAAAATTAAAGGATAAAAGAAAGTTAAATGGACAAGAATTTCTACCCCCTTAACTCTATAAGACTTTACGCTATTAAAAATATTTTTATTTTTATTTTTCATATTTGGAAATTCTGCTTTTATATATACTAGTTTGCGGTCCGTGCAAAGCACGGTATTTTTTTTTTGCTACAGTAATCCCGCTTTTTTAATATGGCATGATTTGAAATTTTGAAAGTGCTACAGTATCCCGCTCTGCTACAGTACCTTTTAAATGCTACAGTATAACCGTGTGCTATAGTAATATTTTTAATTAACTATTAGCTACAGTAGTAATGCTACAGTAAATGCTACTGTAGCATTTGCTGTAGCATGAACAGTGAATCTCTGATCCTCCTATTTGTATAAAGGAATAGATATATATATATATATCACGATCCGAAACCATGCAAATCAATGGAACCGCCATTTCTTCTCCTACTTCTCAATAGCTCGAACCATCACCATCATCTCCTTCAGATTTCTCAATGGAAACCAACCCCAACCCGCCATGGCAGGACCTTCCAGTTCCCGCCATCGAAATCGATGATAGAGAAATGGGAAGCATTGTTGTGTTCGCTTCGACCCATTATTTCAGCGTCCGAGAGTTGTATTAATTCTTGCGATCTATTAGTGGTTGATGCTCTCGCTAAGCCTGAGTGGTTTGAGATTATGATGATGAGGAGATTGTTGTTAAGTATGACGAGGGTGGCAGAGATATTACTGTCGGGTTTGGAGTTTTGAGAGCGGATTTTGACAGAGAGATGCGGGTGAAGGTGGAAAGCATCGGTGATGAATCGAGTGATTACCATTCTTGATGAGTTGGGCAGTCTGTTTGTTGGCGGAGGATCGCCATGGAAGGTGTTCGATTTAGGTAATAGGAGGGAGTCAAATTTGTTTGTTGCTTCCGAATGCTTCAAGGATTGAGGAATATCGTCAGAGGATAATCATACTCAGAGCTTGTGTCATTCTTCGGCTTGCGCTTTGTGTTCTTTCAGTCGGTCAAGGTTTTCCAAATGTTCTTTCAGGTTGTCACCACTGCACTTATGTGCTACATCGACAACACTCACTTGTATTTGATACCCAATATCTTCATATCGCGCATACAGATTCACACCCAATTCCACTGTATTTATTATCTGGATCAAGAATAATGTAACTAGTAAACAACACGGGTACAGATTTCGCCCTTTTTATGCAGTCATTCATTGAAAAACATATTTGTAACAACATCGCCTATTACATTACAATACCTTACCGAGAATACCGCGAACAATATGCTTTAATAATTTTAAGGGGAAAAAGGGGAACACAATTAACACACAACAAATAGTTCTGCCTTAGACTTATAGACTTGTATCTGGGCAGGAATCGTTTGGTATGTAAATTCGGAAAGGTTAGGTACAAATGCAGGAAACACTAGCACGTATTGTCTTCTACTCCTACCCAGTGAGAGTAAAAGAAACGAAATCAAACACAACAGTGAGGTTCCACACCAATACCCATACCAATACCAATACCGATAAATAACAATTCAATGACAATCATAATAATGTAGCAGACAAAAGGTTGTGAAAGGCATTTGCAGCATTGGAAACCATTTTCCGTGCCATTTTAAGGTTCAAATCTAACAATACAATCATTATAACTTGATCATTTATAGCCACATGTTATAGAGCATCACCATCGTGAAATGTTTATTCAGTCATCATCTTCCAGCACACTGCGTCGCCTCTGAATCTGTGATAGAGGGTTCAAAATTATTACATGCATCAGAATCAGTTGAGATTGGGGATTAAGTATACTATACGGGATTAAGAAATAAAAAGAAATCTTACTGTAACTTTGGTTTGTTTGGTTGTTTGAGTGTTTATCTGCTCGAGGATTGATATAAGCTTCTCCTCAGATACCTACAAATTCAACAAGATGCCATTTCTTTTATCTTATTTCCAATTTACAGAAGCTCTTGAAGAATTGTGATTCATTTTCCAGAATATGTTGCACCTTTTCAGCTATTTGTCCCATCTGGGCTGCTCTAAGGATAACATCCTCCACACCCCTTGCCTTGTCTGGTTTCACCAAAGCAATTCGAGCAACTGCCGACAGAACCAAGAGTAGAATTGTAAATCATGGCAATGATAAGATATGACTACAACATTGTATGGCATGAGAGGTTACATATAAATTTGTATGATTTGGTGTATTTGTAGCATGAAGTGTTCCAGTCTGGCGTGCATTGCAAATATTAATAGGAACCATATAAAAAGGACCACGCCTGGTACGCCATTATAAGGCATCAGATGTGTATTAGAACAAATGAAGGAACAAAAACCAGAATGAGGATAGCGGTGACAATGCCTTGACCCAAATTCTCAGAATCCACCAGCAGAATGCAGGAAACATGACCAAATTGGCAGGATGAGGGCTTTAATAAATCTTGGAGAACACTTGATGATAACTAAAAAACTTTATGAGTGTCAAGTCCAACGAACAGGAGATTTACTCCCGGTCTCTCATTATCTCACTAATGCTAATGTTTGGGCATCTCACCAACATATGTCTAATCTCACTAAACTCCAAGACTCTATAAGCCAGAACGAGATAATACCTAATACAAATATTTCTCTTATGGATTTATACAAATGAAAACAGACAAACATGTACAAAAATTTTCTTTTATTTGTTCTCAGTTTAGAAGAGCGATTATATATGGCCCAGACTGGGCAAATCATAATTCATAAGTAAACATCTAAATTGACAATAAGTCTTTCCAGCTAAACAGCTAGAAACTCCAAGTTGAGAGCACGCAGCGAGGAGTTCAAGTATTCCAGCAATGTGATTTCAAAGATATACAAGACAGAGAACTAACATCTTCTGTCTATATCTTGGACTAATCTTTTTAATAAGTGTTTCTTATAATAGCAATCATGTGTGTTTATGTTTCCATAGTCCTGGTCTGGTTCATCATTAACACATAACAACTTACATGAAAATGAAAATTCATAAAGCAAATAACGTCATTAGCAAAACAGCTGAGACAAATCATAAAACAGGAAATCTTAGTGCTATACGACGTAATTTCATCTTTCAACACAGATAAGTGATTCAATTCTAAATTCAGGCAATACTATGGTAATACACATCTAAATTTTGGTTCAGTAACTTACGCCTTTCTCTAGCTTGGGCAGACAAGATTTGGGTGAGCATTAATTGTCTCCTCTCTTCTGCTTCCCTGAAAAAATATGATATAACCATTATTAATTCTAGGAATCACACTCAATAGTCAATATCACAGTAATCAAGAAGACTGAAACAGATGACGCATTTCAGAGGGCAATGGAGCTGGTTGGACAAGGATTAGAAATTATAACATAATACTATATATGTATATAATCAACACATATGTACGTTTTAGCATCTTCCTGAGCTTTCTGCTGCTCTGCATTTTGTTGATTGCCCTGATTCATACCAGAAGATATTTTGAGGTCAGTGAATATATTAGAATCTGAATTCATTAAATACTTAAATAGTATGCCTACCATGCCCTGACGTGCCATCAACTCTTGCATTCTTCTTTGCCTAATGGCCTCCAGCTCTGGATCAGCCTACAAAAGGGACAGGAAACGATCTCCCTTACTTAAAAAATAATCCGAAATCTACTATCAAATGGACACTAAAAAATATACATTAACCAGCACCTCCTTTTCTTGTGATTGTTATTGCTGCATTGCATACAGTACATTTCCTACATTGATTTATATTCTAATTAGGACTAAAGTGAGATGATGTAAAAACTGACCAACGGCACATGCATGACCTAAGAACAACATAATGATAAACCTACAAGGGTGTTATCTGCAAGTTAACACGAAGAATAATATTAATGCGTCATTAAAATGAGGCCTCTCTTACCGCAAACATGTCCAATAACTATGACCAGAAGTATATAGCAGCTCAACTAGTTGAACCTCATTTTCAAGAATCTGGTGTGGTCAAGTTCACTTGGGAGCATACTGAAAGACTAGAAATCTATTATTTTGCAGGTTGACTTCAGATAGGTACTGAAGCCACTCATCATTATCTGTTCTGTCAGCATAGTGATTCTCAAGTGACCATAACCTGCTGTTGATACCATTCCACAAGGACCCGCTCACGATAGGAATCAGTAGTTTCGCATCCAAAGGAAGAACAGAAAACTTACTTCTTAAGGGATCAAGACACAAGAAAAAAAAATCCAACCGAGACGTCCTATACTGTCAACAGAGTTTGATGTGAGAACAAGAAAAGTTATGACCTGCGTATAGAACACTTAGCGACCCAATTCGGACACTACCAGACTAAACCTTTCGCCTGTTCTACAAAACAGTCCTATCAAGAGCCATAATCTTTTTAATCTACTAAATATAAAGTTCAAACTAAAATTTTGGATCTTTTGACCATCCAATATAAACAAATAAAAAATTTTGAAAAGAATTCGAGGAACTGAAAGAACATTACACTTGCTTAATCGATTAGTTACATACAATTTCGACCTTTTTCACTGAATTTTCACTATCCACTAGCCCCAGCGATCCTACGCATCTACCGTTTCCGCAAGCAAGATGATCTAAATTCGGATCTAGGGTTTTCATCTTCAGTGCTTAGTAAAACTACATACAGTGATCAAAAGAAATTCTAATGGTTATGGGAGATTCAATCCACAACTTCGATCTCGAGTTATCGAAGTAGAGTTTAAAAACAACAATTAAAGAAACCCTAGAAATTTAACAGTTACGTAATTGAAGAAGGAGATTCAAAGAGGAGAAGGGGGCTGAAAGTACCATCCTGAAGCAAGTGAATTCTGAAGCGACGAACTTGTTAGGGTTTCGATCTTCGACTACTGCAGTTCTTGATTACTTCGTGGAAAAATTGGGGGAAAATGGGAGAGGAAAAAGACGGAAGAAAAAGGCCGTATATGGGCCAGGCTGGGCCAAAAGGAAGGTTACGATTCCATGCTCAGTGCGTACTCTTTTATATTGCTTGTGGGTAAATTTCAAAACCTTACATAAATAAGAAGGGGCCCTGTTTTGATGCGATTTCGCTCTACAGATATCGCTCATTATTTAAACCTTTATTTTTATTACTATTAAATATTAACGGAAAGAGCTATCTGATGTGTAATAAGTCATGTCTTTATTTTTCTTATGACGTACAAGCAAAAAGTAAACATTACTTTAAATTGGGCCGTGGAATATGGGCCTTTTAATTAGGTTACACACGATCACTTTCCTTGGCGGGAAAATATCCCGAAAAATCCTCAGCCGTCCAATTATTCTCCCATTCTCAAGCTTGCCTCTTTCAAGCGCCTCCTTCCTCATTTCTTTCCCTCTTTTATCTGTTCCTTTCACTCCCCAAAAAAAAAAAAAAAAAATATTTCCTTCCTCATTTCTTTCCCTCTTTTATCTGTTCCTTTCACTCCCCAAAAAAAAAAAAAAAAAATATTCAACTAAAATCTCACCGTTTTCCATCAAAACCCTAACCCTAGCTCAAGAACTCCGATCAATGGAATCCGAGGATCTCAAGAACTCCCCTCACAACTCCAACGGCTTTCCTTCAGAGAAGCCCACCGAAACCCTAACCCCAGAGAAAGATTCCGACGAGGATCTCGAGACTCCCGACGGATCCGACGCCTCCGGCGACGATTCCGCCGTCAAGATCCTTCACCAAGAGATCCACGTCCTCCGCCGCGAGAAATCGGAGCTTCAGCGGCGGATCGATGAGCTGACTGCTCAGTTGGAGCAATCGGAGACTGGATCCAAGGCCGTCGCCGATCATGCTTCGTATCTTGAAGGAGAGCTCATCAGGGTTCAGGAGGATCTCGCTATGGCGTCGTCGGTGGTTGATGATGCGGAGAGTGAGAAGAGTAAGCTTCGATCGGAGATCGAGAAGTTGAAGGAGAAGGTTGCGAATCTTGAGGTGGAGAGAGGGAAGAAGGACGGGGAGATTAGGGTTTTGAAGGAGGAGCTTAGGGTTTCTGAGGAGAGGAAGGCCATAAAAGAGGAGGAGCTGAAGGAGAGGAGTTTAGAGTTGGAGAAGAGGATTGATGAAATGGTGAACAAAGGTCGAGAGGCCATGGAGGAGGAGGTGAAGATTAGGGTTTCGAGGGAGGAGGAGCTTGAGAAAGTTATTGAAGTGATGAAGGATAGAAAATTTGAGCTCGAGGGGAATTTGGCGAGCGAAAAGACTAGGAGAGAGCAGGACTTGGAGAAAACTGTGAAGGAATTGAAGGAGAAGAACTCAGAGCTCAAAGAAAGGATTGATGAGCTTTTGTTGAAGGAGAAAGATACAAGTGATGAGAGGAGTAGGGAAATGGGAGCTCTGACTGCTGCAAGTGCTTCCAAGGTTTCGTGGGTCATGGCGGGGGAGAGGGACTACATTTAGTTACCATGCTTGATTCTCCATTACACTATGTTTTCGTGAAAAGGGAATGCGAGTTGTATGTTCAATCAGGTCTCGTTAAATGTGAGAGGTCTTTCGGATACGTAAATAATACCAGTATTCTTATTCTTTTTATTTATTGTTTTTTTTCTTTTTTTTGTTTGTATGCTAGCAAAACTGATGAACATGCAACAATTGTCTATTGAACTGCCGGTTACATTGTTGCTGAGGAGGAGGATGAATTTGAATTACTCCCCCCCTTCTTTTCCCCCCCATGTTTTTTAACTGCATTGCAGGATTTAGAATTTTGGTAATGGTTCTCTGATATATAAGATTACTAATGGTTCATCTTTCTTGACAGTATATATTATATATTACATGATTTTGAAAATTCTATAGCGTTAAGGTCTGGGATTCAAGTTTGGTTCAGACCATAACATATTGAACCTTACTTATGTTAGCTATCCATGTTGTTCTCTTTTGTCATATACGAGTATATAGGTGCCTTTGGTAGGCTACATATGTAGTTGCGATGCAGCTATCACTTGTAAGGAACTGAGATGTTGTAACTACTCTTGCATGCAATTACATTTGCAACCGTCTTTTTGCATGCAACTAGTTTTTCACTTTCAAAAAAATTTAAAAATAATGGTTAGTTATTTATATATATGTTAAATATTCATTTTAAAAAATATCTTCTTTTTTCAAACTTTTCAAAAAATAATATTTTTCAAAAAGAAGAATGTAATTTACAAATAAGTATATATTTTTAAATTCAATATTTTTAAATTAGCATACGGAAGAATAAAACTTTTTCTAGAAATAATTTTTTCTAAAATAACATTTTTCTAAAAGTAATATTTTTTTCTTAAATATGGTATTTTTCAAAAAATATTTTAAAAATAGGGTTTCTAAAAATTATTTAAGGAAAAAATAAATTCTAAAATTTTTAAAATATTTATTTTAAGATAGTATCTTTGGAAGAATAGTATTTTCTAAAATAATATTTTTTCAAGAAAATATTATCTACAATTTTTTTTTCTTAAATATCATTTTAAGAAAGAACAAATATTTTTTAAAAAAATGTATAAGAAATATTTTCTAAAGTAATTTTTTAGATTATATTTTTATAAAAATAAATTTTTGAAAATATGATAAATAGTTTTTATATAATTATTTTGGATCTTTAATGAAGTTCATAGAATTTTTGAATAAATAATAATATTGAGATGTTAACTTTTTATTAATTTGGGTTAGTTACAACAAAATTACAAATGTGACTTACGTTCAAAATAGCGCAAGTCGAAAACTATAACTCGAAGGCAATTTACAATTATAGTTACAATTGTAACATCCAGTTGCAATGAAACAAATACTAATAACTAGACAAAAATAATCTAATTGTACGCAACTACAATTACTGGGTTAGTTACAACAAAATTACAAATGTGACTTACGTTCAAAATAGCGCAAGTCGAAAACTATAACTCGAAGGCAATTTACAATTATAGTTACAATTGTAACATCCAGTTGCAATGAAACAAATACTAATAACTAGACAAAAATAATCTAATTGTACGCAACTACAATTACACATCCAGTTGCAATGAAACAAATACTAATAACTAGACAAAAATAATCTAATTGTACGCAACTAGGGTCCTGAGCATCTTGAATCTGATCCAGACTAGGTGTATCTTCTTCCATAGAAGAAGCATGACTATTAGTCTCTGGTTCGTCAAAAGCTTCAAAGAACTGCCTTTTAAAATATTCTAAGCACTTCTGCTTAATTTCGGCTTCAGAGCTTTGAGGATATTTTCGCCTTATTAAGGCTGCCATTTTAGTCATAGGATTATCTTTTTTAACTTCTTGAGTCATATTTGACTCTAACAGAGTTTTATTTCTCTGGATAATTTCCTCTAATTCTTTAACTTTGGTCTCGAGACAGATCCCATTCCACCATCTGCATTGGTATGTTCTTTTAAGAATAGGAATATGTGATGGGGTCCAGTCACATATAAGCGACCAATTCCAAATCCAAGGAATTTCTACTTCTGCAAAGAAGTGTGCAAAGCACATGCCATCTATGAGCTGGCTTTCATCCATTCTTGATAATTTTGGATGACTGTCGACCCATGAAGAATATAACTTCAGAAGGGGTTCGGGAATAATTGCAATTTCAATTCCATATGTTTCCCACCATTTATAAAACCAATTAGGAACTCCCTTTTGAAGGGCTTCAGGACATAGCTTGATAAGCCATGTATGCTTTTGTTTTGGGTTCTGATATAAGAACAGATCAAAGAAAGCTTGTTTATAGTCCCAATAGTTGAATTTGTAAACTTCTTTTGTAGCTTGAACTCTTACCAACGGTAATTCTTCATTGGGGTTTATAGCCCAATTGCGAGGAAGTATAACTTCTCTGATAACACATTTGCTAAATCCAGGAGGAACAGAATGATTTTCTGTAGTCCAAAAATGGGTTATTTCCATTCCCTTTTGACTTAATAAAGTCCTTATCCATGCTCTTGATTTTAGAGAAAGAGTAGGATAGTAAGTGTCGTGAAGATATCTTTGCCGAATTGTTTCTGGTTCTTGCATTAAAGCAATATCTTCGGGTTCTAAATATAGAACTATATCTGTATGAGATTTTTCGAACCATTTAGTTTCCTCTTTTACTATATTAGTAAAAGGTTCAGGAGTATTTTCCTGATCTACGATATCTCGTACACCTTTATAAAAGGTTTTAGTATGAGAAGAGTTATGCTTCTTTGCAATAGTTCGCCAAGATGTTGGCTGTTGAGATGGAGTATGACTCCTATTTGGTATTGCTTCTTGACCTATAAGGTCAAAATTTGAATTTGGACTGCTGCTGCTACCTCCTCTCCCCCTCCCTGAAAAGGAGGGATTACTCCGTCTCATTTGTACCCTGTAAAAATTCACGAGTTAGAAAATCTGGAAGATGATTAGAGTCACCTTTAATATATTCAATTTTAAATTGATACATTGCTAATTCTGCTTGCCATCTAGCAAATATTTGCTTAGAGACAAGATTTTTAACATCTTTTTCAATAATGCTTTTAGCAGAACTACAATCTATTCGTAGTAAAAATTCTTGATTAAGAATATCGTCTCTAAATTTAGAGAAACATTTTAAAATAGATAACATTTCCTTTTTAATTGTAGAATAGTTAAACTGGGCTTTATCCCATTTACCAGAGGTAAAACGAACTAATTGTTCCTTTTTGGTTTGTGGGTCCACTTGTTTTAATATACCACCATAACCAATATTTGAAGCATCTGTTTCAACTATTTTAAACCAGTGAATATTTGCAAGATGAATACAAGGTAAATTTTTAACTTTAAGTTTAATTTTTCTTACCGCAGCAGTATGTTGCTGTGTCCATGGCTTAGCATTCTTTTTAAGCCTATCATATAAAAGGACAGTATCTTTTGCTAGATCTTTGTAATAATCAGCTACATAATTTAAAGCTCCCAAAAATCTTTGTAACTGTTTTATATCAGTTATTTCGTCTGGGAATTTTGATGCAAATTCAATACTTCTATCGATAGGAATAGTTGTTCCTTTGTTAATATTATGACCCAGAAATCTAATCTGAGTTTGAAATAATTTCATTTTTGGGGCAGATATAGCTAACCCATTTTTTATGGCTAAAGATCTAAAAGTCTCTAAATGTTTTACATGTTGATCGAAACTATTAGAAAAGATCAAAATATCATCTATATAAGATAGAATAAAATCCGTATAAGGAATAAAAATATCATTCATAATATTTTGAAATTCAGAAGGGGCGTTTTTAAGCCCAAATGGCATAACATTCCATTCATAGTGTCCAAATGGGACAACAAAAGCAGTCTTATACTTGTCTTTTTCTTCTATCTGGATTTGCCAGTAGCCTGATTTTAAATCAAACTTAGAAAATATTTTTGCATTAGTAATGCGATTCAATAAATCCCTTTTATTAGGAATTGGATATCTTATCCATTTAAGGACAGAATTAAGAGGTTTATAATTGATTACTAATCTTGGAACACCTCTTTCTCTTTCAGCAGCATTGTTAACATAGAATGCTGTACAACTCCAAGGAGAGTATGATTTCCTTATTAAATTTTTCTCTATAAGAGTTTGTATTTCTTTTTTGCATAAATCAAGATATTCTTGATTCATTTGGCAAGGACGAGATTTTGTTGGAATATTTTTCTCGTTAAATCCCTCTATATAGGGTAAAGAAACAATATGTTGTTTCCTATTCCAAAAAGCATTTGGAACATCACTGCATACAGTGAGTTTGAATTTATTTTCAATTTGACTTATTAAGTCTTTGTGTTTTTTAATTTGTTCTTCAACTTGAACAAATACTAATTCTTCTTTAAGAAAATTTATCTGATTTTCTTTAAGCATAATATTTTTAACCTCATTTAACATTTTAGTTTGAGGGTCTGTAATAAACTCAAGTAAAATTTCTTTTTCTTGAAAAGTAGCACGAATGCCATTAGTATCTATCTTATGGATAGGCATAATAGTATGTAAAAATGGAGTCCCAAGAATTATATGTTGGGATAAATTTTTTACCAATATACAGGGAGTTGGTATACAAGTCCCTTGCACACATATTTGTGCATTAGGTAATTTATACTTTACCTCTAGTTGATTTCCATTTGCACTACTTAGTGTTTGAGTAGTTTTTTCAAAAAACTTTGAAGGAATTATACCTTCGTTGATGCAATTTAAATCAGCACCACTATCAACCAGAGCTATAAGATCTGATATGTAAAATTGATCTTCAACTATTAAGTTGATATTTATATACCACTTTTGAGAGGTAACTTGTTGCAATATTTGCAATAGAGCATTGGCTTCATTAGTTTCAATATGCTCTTGCTCATTTTGTTCACTACCTTCATCGAATCTGGCGAGAATATATTTATTTTCTTGTTTTAATTTTTTAACTTCTATCTTTAATTCTTGTATCTCTTTATTAAGAGATGATAAAGATATATCTTTTGAAGTATGAGCAATATTTTGCCTTCTTTTTTGTACTTCTGAAAATTTAAACACATTGTCTATTTGAGGATTTTTGTCTTTATTAGACAAATTTTTTACTAATTCTTCT